CGCTTCTCGTAATCCTGATCATTTACATATATACAATAAATATATCTCCATATCTCAATTAGCTTTAGGTGATACAAACAACTGTTAGGTGAACAAAACTTATACTCTCTGTTGCAACATCTTGCGAGAGTATTAGAAACTATTTAGATGTTGTTGTTATAGTGACAGAAACATTTCGAAAGTAATTTGCTGCCGGATTGTTTGTCCTTGGCCGGAAAAAAATCCCAGACTGACGTGATTGTGAGAAGTATTTCGATACCCCTTACTTGTAGAATATGTGAGTTCAAGCAAATAGAAAATAATAAAACAATATTTGTAGTCGACTATTTGAGTTCAACTTTTTTTACTTTTTTAAAAAATTACTTTTGTTATGTTTATAATTTAAGCCTTTATTTTTAGATGTCATACTTTCCATTTATTATTTTCTTTTATCTTAGCACAAATTGATCGACAAATGCTGTTGCAACGAACATTGAAATTATGTATTGAATATGATTAAGAGTTTTGCTTTGGACCAATAAATAAAAACAGTATAAATAAATATTAGAGTTTTGATGCTGAGAGACTGGTACAACTAAAACATTTAACTGCAAATTTAGTTGCAATAAGCGATTTAATATATTAGTTGACTTGCTTTAACAATAATTATTATTGCTTACACCTTCCCTTTAGCCAAAGCGCTGATAAGACCATTAAAGGAAGTTCTTGCATGCAAAATTTTGAACTTTACGTGTTAGCAACGCTTGTAAAATGGTTACAAAATGTTTGATCTAAATAGAACAACTTGTTACATATGTGTGTATTCGGTATTTTTAGGAATGTGATTCATTGTTGCGCGCAACATATACAAATACAATTCGAACAATTAAACTTTAAAAAATTACAATAAATGACCACCTAACTTTACATACTCTTATGCTGCTTTACTGCTTAATTTTCTTTATATGGAATTAAATTGTTCACACCATTCTACTGGGAAGTCAATGAGTTGTTCATAGAGTTATTTAAACGTTCTTCCTCGTCTTTATCTAGGCCCAGTGCCATGGTGAGTAGCCTTACAACGCATTTTTGTTCATGTACTTCACCCTTTTCGTTTGCGGTGATCTCCTTTTCTAGTTTTAGTTTCTCTTCTGCCACCATTTGCATACCCTCCTCAATTGTGCTCTCAGCGATCAGTCGATATATGGTGACTGGACGTGTCTGTCCCATACGGTGACAACGATCCTCAGCCTGCTTATCGTTATATGGATTGAAATCAATGTCATGTATAATGCATGTATCAGCTGCCGTCAAATTGATGCCTACGCCACCAGCTTTAGTGGAGAGTAAAAATATAAATATATCGGAGTCGGCGTTAAAGTCGTTAATCATATCTTGACGTTCGTCGACAGCAGTCGAACCATCGAGACGGAAAAATCCATGTTTTCTTAACTTCAAGTAACGTTCCATAATATCTAAAATCATTGTGAACTGACTGAAAATTAAGACACGATGACCCTCCTCTTTTAATTTTGGCAACAGTGTGTCAAGATGTTGAAATTTGCCAGAATTACAAATTAAGCTAGGCGGTATGGTAACATCATAGAGGTCCTATATATAGAACATAATTAATATAACTATATTGGATTTGGTATGTATTAATTTGTTATTTAAAAAGTGTACATACATGCTTATTACATAACTGCATCACTTGGAAGTCAGACATTACAGCCAATTCTTCAAATATATATTGTGGATTGGTTTTCTTCAGTGATGGTGCGCAGGCTAAACGTTCGGAAAGATCATGCAGTGTATCGTCGCTAAAATAGTAGCGCATTAAAAGCGGGTGATTGGCAACTTTACGCATTTCCATCATTATAGTACTACCGGCGCGATCCCCACTACAAATTTCACCTTTTTTATTCGAATAATAGTCAACTAATTCGTGGTAGTATTGTTTTTGCGTTTCAGTCAATGGAACTTTGACCTATAACATTAAAAATAAAGTTAATGCCATTTGGATAAATAAAGTTATTGTTTGAACTCACAATGAAAGACTCTTTTTTGGGCAAATTATTAAGTACGTCCTTTTTAAGACGTCTCAATACAAAAGGCTTCATAATACGCTTAGCGCGCTCAACTTGCGTTTCCTGAAACTGTGACACATCCTTATTCGCATTCTCTGCTTTGCCTTTCTGCAATAAGGAAAAATATTTAATATAAATAATAATAAAAAAGTAGTGTTTGCTTAGAATGGAAAACATATTTTGTATTTTTTCCAATTTCCAGAGTGTCAAAACTTTTCAATCATTTTGACATTATAGAAACGATATACTAAAATTGCAACGCTGCTATTGTTACATATTCATAGAGAAAAATATACAATAAATTTTCTATTTATATATTTTAGCATACCTTGGCGAAAAGGCTCTTTATATCCTCAATGCTTTTGGCGAAGAACGACGGCATCACAAAGCAAAGTAGTGACATTAATTCCAGTAAATTGTTTTGTAAGGGTGTGCCAGTAAGTAAAATACGCATGTCAGCATTTATTTTTATTAAATTCGCATAACGTTGAGTAGTCATGTTTTTCAGCATGTGCGCCTCATCAAAGATCACATAATGCAACTTGCATACACGAAACATTTTGCACTCCTCTGGCGTTGAGCTGACTATGTGATAACTGCAAATACGCATATACATTTTTGAGATACATTGCAGCAATAGTATATATATATATATATATTTGTATACTCACGTTGTCAGCAACACATCAAAACCCGTGAAGCCGTCTTTGGCGTAACGTACACGCATGCGCCTTCGTTCGTCTTGTGAGCCATGATATTTTTCAACAACTAAACTTGGACACCATTTACTTATTTCTGCTTCCCAATTGTCAAGCGTGGAAGATGGCACAACAATCAAGTGTGCGCCTTTGGCTAAATTGTTCTCTTTAAGATATGCCAGAAAAGCAATAATCTGAATAGTTTTTCCAAGACCCATCTCATCAGCGAGAATCCCGTTCATTTTTTGATTATGCATCACAGTTAACCAATTAAGACCAATCATTTGATAATCCGCTAATTTCATTCTACAGAACAATTAAGTGAAGTATATAATTAGTACTACAAATGTGAAAGATATATACATTTATGACAGAAAGAATTGAATTTTTCACTTACTCGTCATTAAGTATTTTCGGTTGCTCCACTATGCCTGCACCAGTTTCAATTGCAGCCTCTAAACGCTTTACCATTTTGTTACATTTTTCTAATATATTTGCCACATTATTTTGTTTGTTAATCAATTCCTGTGCCATATTTAGTAGATCTGCTGACAGCGCCTTATTTGATTCCAACTTCTTTAGTAGGTCCTTCCAATCTTTAAATGGACGTAATTCCATAATTAGGCTTGCTTTCTTTTCGGACAATGACTTCACCGTTTGCAGTTCCATTAACGTGGCTTTATTCATGAAATCAAAGACCTTTTTCCTTTGCCCTGTCATTAAGCTTGAACTTTCTGTATCGCTTTCTTCACTGTCGTATACTTGATCAGTGGATGCGCGTATATCTTCATCGGAGTCTTCACAATCGGAATAGTTCTGCGCTTTGGAACGAGAAGAGCTGCCATTTTGCAAAGGTTTGCTATTGCTGCGGGCATTATTTGTTTGAACTGCTTTCTTTGCATACGAATTCGGTTTTGGCTTGAAATTTTCTTTTAAATAACGCAATGCTTCGGAAACGTTCCAGCCGTTACGCACAAGAGCATCTTGTATATCCTAAACAATAAAAACTTATTTGAAAGATATTTCAAAATTCTAATGATCTCACCATAGCATCGTAGTCTGGCGCTATTTTCACAGCCGCTAAATATCTGTCTTCCTTTTCCTTCACAGATAACTCCAATTTTACTTTTTTGGGTGTATGAATGTCAGCTGCACCATCGCTGTCGCTATCCGCCATTACCTGTATTCGTTTTTTACCTGGCACACGTTCTATAAAAGTTTTAGGTATTTATTCAGCATAATGAAAAAGTTGGAAATTCAAGAGCATTTCCCTATATTATTAAGAATTTTTTTGTTGAAAACTATACAATATGTATCAGCTGTTTTCACCTGTCTTATTGATTGTAGGATTTGCCGATTTGTTTAGACGAAATTGTCGCAAATCACTGGCAAGACTCGTGGTTTTCGCTGGCGGCGGCTTTACTTCAGCGTCAGAAATATTGTCACCTGTATTTAACTCGCCAACTGTAGCCATTATTAATATATTTAATAAATATTTCTACCCAATTAACATTTAAAAACTTTACAACTGATGGGAAATATATACTCTTTAGCTTTATTTTCACAACTCTTCATGAAATCTTTCCAAGCATACCACTTTCCAGCAGAACTAATAAATGCTGTCCCTTGGTTTAGTAAAGTGCTTCTTCTTTTTATTCTCAGTAGCGGCGGTATGAAGTTTGCAGCAACACGGTTGTACTAATCCGAAACCAAAATCTTAGAGAAAACTATTAAAAAAGAAATGTATTTAAAATAATCTTAATATACTTGAACTAACTTAAGTACTGAAAAATATAAATTTTAGATGCTTGATTTTATCCCTTATATGTAAACAGTCGTTTTTTAGATATTTCTGCTAAATAGTAGCCAATATGTTAGAAAATAGTGAATTCCCTTCTTAGTGTTTTTCGACTCTGTTAGCGATTCAATCGAGCATCATACAAAATCCGACTTGCACCTTCTTATTGTTGCATGTTTTCTGATACAATATATCACAATGTCATCAAAACAGTAGAATCAAACAAATCACAAATAGAAAAAAGCGACATACGTCAATAAAAGTAGGATTAGCTTCTTTATCTTTTCTTTACGTTTTTTTTCAGTGTATAGATATTTAAATATCTTCTTCTCTTCGCTTTAATATTCACAATAACCAATTTTAAAAATTTAGTTTTAAAATGTTTTTAGGGCTAATATGAAATTTTTGTAAATATATTCATTATATTTTTATACATATATACAATCTTTTAATGATCCCTGCCTTTTAATTTTAATCAGATCCTGATGGTTTTGAGTGCTACAACAACCGGATTTTTCTTGCTTTCTGTAGTGGTATGTTCGAAGTATTGGAGTCATCATCTGCGTTTGGGATTTTAGCTGATTCTACGTTAGTGTTAGATTCGATGGGTCAGACTTTCATGCAGAAAAGAAGTTAGTAGTGACCTTTTCGCTTATAAAAGTAGCTTTGAATATAGAGGTGTGTTGTGTTCTAGAAAATTAAAATATAGTAAGTAGTTAACAGAACATAGAAGCGCGACCATTCATTCTATTGAGTTGTGTTAAAACTCGCCCATCACACGTGGGAAGATAATAAGTGATTGGGAAGGCGATTTATGAGCACTCATATATCACTTTTATATAGCCTAATCGTATTTTCTGCTATTGATAGCTTGTGAGCCAGAGATTATCCCTGTTGTGAGCAATGCGGCTATGCATTCCACAATATGTAGAACGTGTGGATGGACTTAGAAACTCGGCATTTTTTAACGTACTTACTTAGGTATATCATTTAAATTCGTATTGTCGAAGTTAAATTTTACGATGGCACAGGCTAGAATAGTACGATTTTAATGCCTGTAACATTTAGATCGATTAATGTTTTTCACAGCTAATGGTCTCTAGCGCTTTTTCCGAGACGTAATATGACTTTCAAATTATAGTTTATAAAAAATCAAAAAGGTCGTATTCCTATCAGTCTGTCGCTGTTACATTTGAACGACATCATATGAGCTGCCTTACAAGATTCATAATAATTGTTCGCTACATCTACAACAACAATATCTATAAAATGGCGTAGTGGCCATTATAACACAAAAGTATATGGATTGAAATTCAGCATATTGAATCTTTGATATATTTACAAAATGAAAAATTAACGTAAAAGGAAGGAAGTTAGAGTAGCCCTCAAATTAATCTATGCAAATATAACAGGCGGCCGACGGTGGTTCCATGTTGTGGTAGCCGCCTCCAAAAGGTGTAAAATCTCCGAAATAACAGCCCGGATCAATACCAATACCGCAGAACTGGCTGTTGTGGGAATTGACCCTGATCTATTATCAGTTTCATTCATCTAAAACTCACCGATCCAAACACAGTTAGATCGCCGAAATAACAGCTCTTGGCCGGATAAAATCCGGGTCAATTCCGGTATCGCAGAACCGGCTGTTGTGGGAATTGTCATCTAACACCCTTCTCCCTATGGTCCGACCCCGTCGAAACAGCTCGTTTCCTTAGCCTCCCGTTAGATGACCTCGACGACAACGAATCTGGAATTTATCACCCAAACGGGGACTAGGTAACCGTTACAACAACAACAACATCAGTTTCATTAAGATATTATCCGATATTACTACATTGCCATTAAACAGGTTTTAGTAAAGTGATACTAAGTGAAATGTTCCTCCACATTTTTATTATATTATATAATTTTTAACCGATATATAGAAATAAACTTAACGGCCATAAATAAAAATACGTTGAATACATCTGCATTCATGGCTGATTTGATTCAATTTAATTTATTTTAACCACAACGGAACCGGATTTTATTCAGCCAAGGACTGTTAACTTGGCATAATACAACCAAATTACTTCAATAATTTTTTCTGCCGCTACAACAACGACATGTGAACATAATTTCATTAAGAAACCTATAAAATATATTTCTAAGGCATAAAGTCAACCGATTTCTATGATTTTCAAACTGTCAAGAAGTTTAGTTCAGACTAGTCGAGTAATTTAAAACTCTGATTCAGAATGATACATAAATGTGCTATTTAACTTTTCTAAGCAGTTATCAAAAGTTGAGTAGCTTTGACCATAACCGTTATAGCTATGAGAGTTAGTTAGACGTGGTAGTTCCAATTTTCACATTTGCTCGAAATGTCAAGTGTGCCAAAATTCATCAATATATCTCAATCTCTTGTCCATTTATCGATTGGATGGATAGATAGACATCAGAAAATCAATTATTCTTGACATCTTGAGTATTTTCTAATTTATATACAGAACGCTCTCTGCATTTCCTTTATGTGTTGAGAAAAACTTTTATACCTGTGCAATATGTTGCGAGTGTATAATTATTTGCTCCATTATCTCCCCTTTTAGCGTATGTTATTTTATGCATTTAATTCGTCGTTGCTTTGGCCGAGCAATGGAGACCAACACGGTGTTTCTCTTGTCGTGGCAAACTCATAACTTTATCTCTGCTCATAACATTCGAAAGCGTCAATGCGTGCAGAGGTTTCAGTTTAGTGCTCTTTTGTGTTCTTGAAATTATATATTTTGTAATTTAAATTATAATTTAGATTTCGTTAAATTCTAGTCCGTTTTAACTATGTCTGCAGTAACTAAAGGTATGTAAGCAATTAATAAAATATTTTAATATTATTATAGTATATTACTTCCAAGACTTTGTACTCTATCGCTATTGCAATGGACATGCATACATGTATACTTGTATGTATTATATATGCGGTGAGACTCTTCACAAATGGGGGCAATTTGTTATTACAAAATTAAGTGCATTTATTCCGTTTTTATTTGTTTTTTTGTAAGTTGAAACCAACATATAGCTTTTTAATTAAAAAAATATATATGTATCTACAGTCTCAAATGATTGTTCAGTTAGATATATTAATATTAATTTTTTACTTTGTCCAGTTTAGCCCAACAAGTGGGTGTGTAATATCCGCCAATCGGAGTGATTTATTTATTTACATATCTGCCAAAACATACTCATATTGATATAGACATATGAATGTACATATGAATACATGTGAGAACCGGTGCGTTTGTTTTGATGATTTTAATGCTTGCACTTTGGACTCCTGAAATCACAAGTCAGTGTCTCAGATAAATTGTGTTTGTGTGGTAACATACCTTTGCATATATGGACAATGTGTGACGTAAATATATGTACATATGTACTTATAAACAAAGGCATAATAAGAATATTTTTATATATACACATGTTTATTTTGAAAACAGAGATAACAAAAAGAACCGAACTCATCTATTTTAGATTTGAACTTTGAACATAGCTGTGCAATCAAATTCACAAAAACATTTTACTTTCTAATTTTTTGCAGGAATTTACATAGTAGGCGCAAAGCGTACTGCTTTTGGTGCATTCGGCGGTGCCTTAAAGAATATCAATCAAACACAGTTACAAACTGTCGCTGCCAAGGCTGCGCTGGATGCTGCTGGACTGCGCGGCGAACAAGTCGACACTGTGATCATTGGAAATGTTATTGCCGTGAGTTAAATTAATTCTAAGATTTTCGTTTTAAAACAAAAAAAAAAAAAACAACAAAGAAAACATGAAAAAGCGGTAACTGCGGTTGCATTTAAGCTATAATAACCTTATATCTTCATATACTGTAAAGATGGGTAAAATCAGATTAAAATAACGCCTCCTCCCCATATAACAGTTATGTTGAAAACTACTAAAAGTGCGATAACTCACTAAATAAAAACGGCAGAAGCATTAAGTTTCATATCCTATATGTTATAGAGGGGCTTCATAGGAGCCCTAAATGGACAATGGTGTCGTGGCACCGCCCACCTTTGGATGAAATCCTATACCTCAGCAACTACTCAATCAATTTCAACCATTCCTATCTCACATTGCGAAAACGGGCGGACTTACTTTCCATATACAGCAATTTTAAATTCAATCTAGCTCTCTCTTTTTACAGTTTATAAATCGAAAGTCAAAGACGTTAAAATATTGTAAAAATAGTTCCTTTTAATTATTCTATCTCACGTCTTAAAATTATCGAGATCAAACCATATACAACTTTTCAAGTTTCCAGATACCAAATATGTGGACCCCCGTGTCTGACTTATACTGAAACTACTAGTCAATCTGTGAGGTCTAGTAATGAAATTGGGAGAGAACATTTTTATGATAACAGCATGCCCTTGTGCTAAAAATGGGTAAAATCGGCTCAATATATCTAATATAAAATTTTTCGAACTTCCGGTCGACTTTATACCATATATGTATGGTATATTACTAATAACAATGGGTTCTTACGCCTAAAATTAATTTCAATATAGTTTCCGAACTTCCGGTTGACTTTATACCGCATATATAGGTCAATCTGCGAGGTATCTTAATGAAATTCAGAGAGCATCTATTTGAGATAATATGTCGTAATACCAAAAATTGGATAAGGTCGGATCAATATATCCCCTATCCTATAATATTAGATATGCTATAGTTTAATGCCGAAAATATGTGAAATCGGTCAACAAATTATCCCACCTCGCAATAACTACTTATAATGATTTTCGTTATTCCAGCAGACTTCATGCCCAATATGTCGGTCAGTGTGCGAAGTATTTTCACATAAGAGCATGAAAACATATTCTCAAGTATACTTGATTAATCCCAAACGTTAATGAAATCAGTTCAGATGTCCAATATACGAGATATAGTGATTTCCATCTATTTTGACTTTCCATCTAGCTTTAAAGCGTTTATGCCGGCAATACATAGACGACAAGTCTTTTGTAATGCCAGATGGAGATTTAGTTTAATATGAGTTAGGTTTATCTCCTGCAGAATATTAATCCTTTTTGCGAAGTTTAATAGAGATTTGTTATCTAATTCTGATACTTCATCTAGTCCCTTGAATTGCGAAGCTCCTAGATATCTAAGCCGAGTTCTACTTGTAGATAAGTCCGGAAAAAAGCGGAGAAGGTGTTTCAGCATCTCTCTCATACCTACTTGCCTGCACTTTCTACATGTGTCATCGTTAATAATGCCCATATGGCTGTTGTTGTTGTTGTAGCGGCAGAATTCTACCGAGTTGACAGTCCTTGGCCGGAATAAATCCGGGTCCGTTCCGGTTACGTAGACCCGACTGTCGTGGGAACGGTGCCCATATGGCTCGCATGTGATGCCAGTGCCTGTACATACTGTACATGCCTTTAAAGCGTTCCGTCTTCCACTAATCCGTCTGTGAGCCCTTTCGGTAATTTTTTTGTGTATCGCTTTAATACTTTCGTATTTCCTGAACTGATTTGGTAGCCAAGCGGAAGGTAATTTCATCGGCTATTTCGTTTCCCGGAATGCCCTTGTGCCCTGGAACCCAGTATACTCGTATATGCATCCGCTTTAAGCTCATAATAAAAGTCAATCAAATATCATTGTAATCCATTCGGTTTCTTCGAATAATACATATTGAATTCTTTCCCAACATTCTTTAATATAAAGTTTTGCAAGTATTTCTCCTCCCTTAATCGTTGCAAATTGCGATAGTATAAAATGTTCGGTTATAAACGAACTTAGGCCTTCCTTACTTGTCAGAGAGACATGGCTCCCTTGCCCTTTAATTTAATATATAATATAAGTATATTAAATATAACAAATATTTATTTTAAGTTAAGCAAAATGAAAAAAAAACCTTTAATTAATGTACCACATCTTTTTGCAGTCTTCTGCCACAGATGGCATTTACTTGCCACGTCACGTCAGTCTTAATTGCGGCATACCAATTGAGAAACCAGCACTAGCAATTAATCGTCTATGCGGCTCTGGATTTCAATCTATTGTGAATGGTGCACAGGATATCTTGGTGGGCAATGCTAAGGTTGCACTAACAGGTGGTGTCGAGAATATGTCACAGGCACCTTTTGTTGCACGCAACATTCGTTTTGGCACCAACTTAGGCGCTAACTACAATTTAGAGGATGCTCTGTGGTCTGGATTAACCGATTCATACTGCAAATTACCCATGGCTCTGACTGCCGAGAATTTGGCTGAACAATTCAAAATCACACGTGAGCGTGTCGATGAATTTTCACTTCGTTCGCAGCAAAATTGGGCAAGAGCACAGAAGGAAGGCGTTTTTAACACCGAAATTACACCCATTAAATTGAAAGTGAAAGGTAAAGAGGTCGATTTTGTTGTTGACGAACATCCAAGGCCACAAACCACAATTGAGGGATTAGCTAAGCTGCCATCCCTGTTCAAGAAAAATGGCGCAGTCACTGCTGGCACAGCTTCGGTAAGTTAAATATTGTCAGTATAGTCATTTGGTACTTTTTAACAATGCTCTCATTGCAGGGTATTTCTGATGGTGCGGCTGCCGTTATCGTCGCCTCTGAAGAAGCTGTGAAAGAGTATAATCTTAAGCCACTTGCACGACTTGTGGCTTACTCATTCGTTGGTGTGAAACCAGAAATTATGGGCTACGGTCCAGTACCAGCCATCCAAAATGTACTCAAAGTTAGTGGCAAGAAATTGGAGGACATTGACCTAATTGAGGTAATGGTAGTGAAATTTAGAGCATTTCATGAAATAATTAATATTTCTTTCTTTGATTTAATAGATTAACGAAGCTTTTGCCGCTCAAACGCTTGCCTGTGTCGATGCGCTGGGTCTGGATATGTCTAAGTTAAATGTTAATGGTGGCGCTATTGCCGTTGGTCATCCATTGGGTGCAAGTGGTTCTCGCATTACTGGTCATTTGGTGCACGAGATGCAGTAAGTACTATATTTACTGCAGTTTGGTTGAAATTTTATTGTACTATCACTTTTTTTCTTTACAGACGCAAGAACTTGAAGTACACCATTGGTTCGGCGTGTATTGGTGGTGGTCAAGGTATTGCCTTGTTGTTGGAGTCTGTTGAATAAGCTGTGAAAGCCAAACTACTATATTGCATTTAATTCATTTGCCAATACTTCAAAAGTGTAGCAAAATAGCTCTAAGCATTATTAATAATATTATTATTATTTTTTAATATATATAGAATTTTTACCAAATTATCGTTTTAAATTTTAATTAAACGCTGGTTGCCTTTGTCAGCAAGAGAAGAAATCTATTGGCCACTTTGGAACTCTATATTTTTTCTTGGAAAACGCCTCTTGGCACCTTGAAAAAAAAATTATATAAAAATATGTATCTCTAATTCTTTTTTTCAAGCCATTCTAGCTCAGATCGAGATGAATTCCACTTAACTTAGATCGAGATTGTTAAGGATTTTTAAATACTCAAGTCTATTATTTCTTCCATTCCACATATATGTGAAAGTATTTGAGATCAAAAGAAGTATGAGGATTTCGGATTTTAATTTCGGTGTCGAGTTTTGTATTTTCAAGGATTCAGAAACGACATATCCTAACCACATATGACACTAATTAACACGATGACATCCTAAATTGAGTATGTTTTGAACGTGGGGCAAGTAAAAAATGAGCTATGATATGACTTGGTAGGTATTAGATGCTAATAACATTTAGCAGCAGCGAGACAATTACCTGGATTATTATTTTAACTCTCCTATATCTACTCCCCCATTTTCTACAATAACAATAATTTTATTTTTATTAACTTAAGTGATAAAATATTTAAACATGGAAAGATGTAGATTTATTAAAAATAAATTTATTTTTTTTTAAATAATTATAGAATTTTAAATTCACAATTTTTTTAATTTTTAATAATAAACTTGTAATTAACATTTTTCTTCAATCCGGTATTTAGAATTAAAATTTTCTTTTAATCCAGTATTGATAAGAAATTTCAAAATTATTTTTAACTAAGCTTTTCGGGATTAATACAAAAAGATTATTCAAATATTAATCCGATGATCACTCGAAATTCACACCCGAACATCAAGCTGAATAATTTATTGCTCTTGGAGAAATGTAAATCCATAGAAACACGAATATTTGAATATTTCAACCTTCGTAATTTAAGTAGTTTTAAATATAGTACAAGTAGTATTGAGAAGTCTTAGGCCTGACCGAAAGATTACCCTACAAATAAAAAATATTTTACTTATAGTACATATACAATACTAACTATAGGATACTGTCAAAGTTCCATGACATTTCATCCAATCATCCTCAAGGTCTAAAAGTATGCTCTTCAGCTATTTTTGTTAGAATGTTAAGAATTAGATGGTAAAAACTTTATTGATGGAAAGCAATGGCTTGATAAGGGTTGCCGAAAATTTTCTATAGCATATTCAACGAATAAACAGGTTGGCTGAATTTCGTCAAACGAACGGCTAGGTTATATCATTTACGAATTTTACAATTAAAAAGACTGCGAAATCACGTGACATTAAAAATGAGAACAACAGCTTTGTCCATAGAAGAAACCACTGCTCAGTCTAAGAGAAGCTAAAATTTGTTTTAAAAAGGAATAAAAATGGATATCTCCAAATACAATACGGGACAGACTTCAGAGGCTTCAAACGTGAGTGGGGTAATGTATTATTTACAAATGAGTAAACTTTTGTATTTTTTAACCAAAGAGATGTATTTGGCTAAGAAAAGCACAAACATTTATTCAAATGAGTGTTAAGCACTTCCAAAAAGTGCATGTTTATGGATGCTTCTCTACTCTTGGATTTGGGTTTTGAGGCGCTTCACAGAAAACCTGAATGCCGTTAGAATTATAAAATTGTATAAAAAAGGGTTTACTGAAGTCAGCTGATATGCTTTGCGGAAAAATAACCATGATTGGATACTGCAAGAAGATGACTGTTCGAAACATAGGAGCAGACTCTGTACTCAATGGAAAAAAGAAAACCTTATTGTTAATTTAGATTGGGCATCACAGTCACCAGACGCCAATCAAATAAAGAATGTTTGTGCTTTCATAAAAGCTAAAATATCAAGAACACGTTTAACGTCAACAAAACATTTCATTCGGCTACTCCAACATACCTGGAGATCACTTCCTGTGGAATATGCGGAAATTTAGTTGTGAGTTGACATCAAAGATCTCAGGCTATAATAGACAACGCGGGAGATTGTAGCAAGTATTGAATAAACGTCAACTATAACCAAACAGTATATTTTCTACAATTTTTCCCAATAAATGCTACCTACACTTTAGAAAACGAAAACGTTATTTTTTTTCTGCATTGTATAACCTTCCGGAGCACGATTTTCTCTCTATGGCCTTGTGTGTATGTGACGTGGTAGAGTGTGGAGATGCGGCTACGTGGTGTAGCATTTCTCTTCTTAATATTAATTACACGTAAATATACAGTAATATTTTACTAAAGCACAATTAATTGCTATCAGTAGATTAAGACTTCATGATCGTATTTGAATAACCAATCCATACACATGTAGTATGTTAAAGTAAATTTGTTTTATTTGTAGACCAATTTATGTTACTCAATTACAAAGTTCAATTTTAGGTTTCAAGAGATTACAATAATACTTTTCAATACATAATAATTAGTAATTACCTACACTTAGCAAAATGTATGAAATAAATTATATTTATTACGTATGAACTAACCTTAAAATCTACGTCCTCCCTCTTACCTCCGACAAACCTATTCAAGGGAAGTTTACCTTTTTTAGCCAACGATATATATAATAAATTTCTTGAAGGAAACTTTTGGTGATCACATTATCTCGGGTCGTGGGTCTGTGGCGTAACCTTCAAGATCGTGCGATTTAATACCGCTGGGTTATTTTTGTGAGATTATATGAAGTCGCTTGTCATATGCAGCTAAGTTCGAGACGATTGACGCCTTGGGAGAGATTATTTGGCGCGGTATTGCTGATATACAGTCCCAATTGTTCGATAAGGTGGTCGAATATTGGGCTGTCAGCTGGAATTTATTCGGTATCCAATTTCCATCCAACAGAGGTTGAATAATATTTTGTATTAAATATGTATAAATCTTTCCCTTGAAATTATTGTGTGCAAGGCAAATTAGTTTATCGAAAAAAAAAATTGCAAAGTGAACTTTTTTAGAGTTCGCAGAGTTGAAGACTTTAACATTTGATATTTCCACGAATAACCTCACTTTGTACCATTGGCATTTCTCCCAGGGCACTTATAGGGATTCACACCCCAAATGAATTGCATACTTATAAGTGAATCCGAGCACAGTTGGAGACCGCTGAGAATTCAAGAGACATATGAGATGCGCTTACTACTCACCTTAACGCCGACCACAAATTGCTAACAAGCGTGCGCATACTTTCTTCTGAGATCAGCCAAATTATTGTGATTCTATTTTTTCCATGCCATCGCTCGTGCTCAACAACTCAAACTTACTCACACTTGCTCACAGGTATCAAAAAACTAATCAAAAAGCTGCCCACTGTTGCCGCCCGCTGTCTCTAGCTACAAATCCGACTACGACAACTCAGTAGCCAACTTACACAACCGGAATATATAAGCGATAGAGACAGTGCTGCGCAGCAAGCTCCCAATTTAGTGCTCAATTTAAGGTAGAGCATTTTATAATTTTTCATTGGTTCGGTTGTATGTAAGTACGTGTGTATATTTGCTCACCCGCTAAATGAACAAATATAAGAAAAATATTATTACAACAATTCGAGGCGCAAAAAAGCACAATATCAGGAAAATTTATAATTTGTTTGTATATGTTTTCATTCTGCTGACGGCTGTAGTGGCAGCACTACAAACAAATTGCGATCATTGCTATCTGGCTCAGTGTCGAGAGTGCACTGTGTATGGAAATCGCACTTACGCTTATTACATTTGGTATATAATAAAACCGCAAAGCAAAGGGGACAAAGTGAGAGGTTAGAATTGGATAAGGGTTGTAAGTTATGGTTATTGCATCAACATACATCATACCGATAACGTGGAGAGCCTTCTTTGCAAAAAGTGAAGTACTAATATACATGGTTTTAAGGTTTTCTAGGAATTGCTCATAGTTGTCATTCTAATTTTTACTTCAGAGATTGTTATATATTATGTTACAATAGCTATATTGGAAATATGCTTTGACCTGGACTGTTCCATTTAAATTGTTTTGAAGAGTCTATATTCTTACTAATAAAAGTATTTTATCGACTTGTATAGTACATATGCTAAAGGCGGGCGTTTACTAAACTAGTCTCGAAGTCTGTATTGGAGTGGAAAATAATGCAATTTTTCTAATAAATTTTCATTCTACGTTTGTTGTGCTCAAAACTAGTCGGATCTAATGCAGAATTTATTTACCATAAAATATTAATAATTAAGTTTCCAAACTTTTTTTATATACTTTTGATGTTTTGAAAGATTTTGGTTGAAGTTGGTTTATTTTTTTTGTTTTTTTTTTTGAAAATTCTATACTATTTTGCATTAACAGATCACTTTTTAACCGACCTCCTAAATTTGTGAAAATTTCGGAGTTAATGTTGTTGTTTCTGTAGAGAGATTTTCTTATTTTAACGATCATCCTTTTGCCGATCACTTGAAATAGAACTGTAACTTTATTAACTGCTCTAGTTGGTTGCAGTTTGTACTAGTTTTACTGCATAGTTGTGTTCACAGTCTCCTTGGTGACATAACCGTTTAACACTAACAGTTGAAAAGTTGATTGTATGAAAAAATAGCAGAAACTTCGGATGATTACTAAGATAACACAAAATCGATATTATATCTGGGCAACAAAACCACTGTATACCAGTGTAATTCATGGTATTTGCCATAATTATGTAACGCTCTGAACTTAAAACCCATTAAGGATATGGTTTAAAATAGTTGCGATCAAACAACTTATTTTTTGCACCAACTTTCAGCGACACCAAACCACTGTGCTTGCTTTCACGTCATTACCCACAGACACAAGTAGTGTGTGCTATCTCGGCCGCTTCTTCGTTTGATCGCAATCTTTGACGTTGTTGACTGTGTAGCTCCTCGCTAGCGCTACAGCTGACTTCGGCTGCTACTTAGCTGGCGGTCTGGCTGGTTGGCTAACTTGCTGATGTCAACCGCAAGGAGAGCTGAATAATAATGTATTGTATTGTTGAGCAGCTCGCCAGCTATAGCTATAGCTACAACTTTGCTACTTTCAATTAATGCGAATTGTATTGTAGGTGCGCGCATACGAATCGTTGAAGAGCACAACAGCTACTCAGAAGACCACACGAACTCATACCCGGTACACGTACCACATGTATTCGCGCCGCGCGACGACAACCACAAACGATTTATTCCACAGCTTTTTCAAGTAAACAGCCATCGCTCCGTATCTACCTTTTATAATATTATATTTAGTAGAAGTTAACGTCGATGACGGCGAACGACGGTTCGAAGTTTGCTTTAAAATTATAAACGGTTGTGGGAATCAACGTGTTTTCGAGCTGCTCGGTGCTATACATTTTTACGGTATTTATTGAATTCCAACTTGCGAATTCGGAAACAACAACGGGGGAAAAGCTAGATTTCGTAGAAACCACACGCGTCGACCCAAAGATATTGCAAAAATTTTCACTGAGGTAAAAAACTTACATACATACATCTATCTGTACGTATCTGCTTAAGTGGCTGTGTACAAGTATGGAGTTACGGGTATAAGCAATTAAAGTGTGATGATATCAAATATTATACTTATATAAATAATGTGAGGTGTTGATTGGCAAAAAACTGATCATTTGTCATTTTCAGTGGGTATTGTTGTGATTTCGAGTTGGTTGACGTCTTCAAAAAGAAGAAGAAGAAGAAGAAAAAGTTTGTGCGAAATTCGACCAGCATTTGTGGCGAATTTACTGTAAATGAGATGTACGACATGATCGCATATAATTTTCGTATATTCTTCACGTGAGGGTTTGCTGTAATCAGCAATCGCCATATCTCATATCTCAGACGTAAAGTAGCTGCTAGACCTGTGTCCATATCTACATAGATACAAATACACTTGTCTGTATAATATAAATTCATATCTGCTTGCATGTGTGTGTATGTAGCTACCAACATATATACATACATATGTACATAGGTATAACAATAATTCGCAAAACATGACAATATTAAGTGGTACGAATATAAACTATGAAATATGGCCTGTAGAAATGTCAAGTAGCTGGATATCTGCTATATGCTCCATCATATATACACATAACATATAAGTCTATATAAGTAAATATGTGTTTTAATGTGTGATTGCATACCCGTGTACTCTAAATAGTACATTCATAAGTGAACTTTGTTGCCCAGCCGCAGTGTTGATAGTGTTAACGGTGGTGAGACAATAATTATGACGGTAACCGTCGCTGAGCAATAATAACAAAAGTGATTATGAGCGATGATCTTGGTGTCGTAATAGCAAGAAAAACTTTAACTAGAAAAGTGCTTAAGTGTTGCAGCAAAAATAATAAAAACATAAAATCATATATATTGTATATATGTATATACAAATATATTAATATGTGCAAAAATATATACATATACAAAAAATTAATCAAATTATAAAAAAAAAAAAATTAAATAAATAAACGATGACAAGTCGTTTTACAAGTGCGAAAAAATATATACAGTTATTAAATGAAAATACAGTGAAGAAAATATTGAAAATATTAAGAAAATTTAAAAAAATAATAAAGAAAAAATATATATAGTATAAGGAGTATAACATATTAGTGAAAATAGAATAAATAATTTTTATTAAAAATATAATAAGTAGTAAAATTTTTCACAATTCTTTTTTGCTCATCTTAACTGATTTATTAGCAGAGTTATAAACTGGGTTACACATTTAAATGGATTATAGCAGACACATCTTTTCATGTATATTTACTAAATAAATTCGCAATATTTATACGTATATTGGCATCACTCATATATTGGCATTACTCATATAGCATATATTGGGATGGTCGAATTCAAAATATTAAAAGAATGATACTCAATAAATAAATTTGTAATATTAATCGTAGGTCGATTAGGGTGGTCCAGTATTCTGTATTTTGTTTTCTTTTAATTTAATTTTGCATAATTTGCTGTTTAAAAAAGAAATTAAAAGGGAGCGCGGAGTTCTGCTTCTCTTTTAAGAAATTTTATATGTGAAAAAAAACGTTTGATCCCAAACACCGTTATGAAAAAAAATTTGCCCAAAATCCCAAAATCTTAAAAATTATATTTTCAACTTTTAATTTTAAATAATCTTGGATTAAGAATTGAAGATTGGAATTTTTATTTATCAATTTTTTTTTAAATTTTTTAATTCCAAAAATTTTGTAAAGTAAAGTAAGAAAATATTTTTAAATTTAAAAGTTGGAGTAACAAATTAAAAAATATACTTTTTCAAATTAAAAGCTGGAATAAAAAGAGGTAAAAATGAAAGATGTACATATTTCTAACTGAAACAAAATAATTAAAGTCTATTAAATATAAATAAGACAAAAAGAGCTAACCTATATTTTATTCAAAATAAGCTTTCCTTTTCAAAAGATAACCAAAACGATAGAACATGAATTATGCAAACGCGATATATTGTTAATTCTAAAACAATTCCTCTTTGTAATTTTTAATTATTAGCTTGGAATAAACTTTTTTTCCAATCCGGTATTCGGGATTTCAAATTAAAAATAAATTTTTAATTAGATTTTTGGGATTAATCTGTTTTTTTTTGTGTTTTGATTCCAATGTTTGATAATAAAAGTTATTTTCAATCCGGTATATGGGATTAGTGTACTAGAAATAAAAATTTAAAATTTATTTTTAAATATTTTTTATTTAATTTACATATCTTTTAAATTAAAATTTTTAATATCTAAATTATCGGTTTGAACAAAAACTTTTAATATCAAACACCGGATTAATTGGTAAACTACTTTTTAATATGTTGTTGTATTTCAAATGGAATTCATTGATTAACCTAATATAAAATTATTGTGGAATCTTTGAACTTAAATTTAAAAAATTGTTTATACAACAACTATATTTCATGTATCGGGTTATTATTGTAACACCCTAATGCATATTTATTGCAACTGCATTTGTGCAAATATTAGCTACAAAAATAATGAATCACTTATAAATATTTAATACTTTTCTGTTTCTACAATCATTAAAATTCGACAGAAGACGTTTTATAGAGAAAGGGAATATTAAGTGGAATTGTAATTAAACAAGAAAAAAAAATTAAAAGTAATGAGGATTAGTATGAATAGTAATTTGTAGCCGATGTATGTATGAATTCATATTCAATATATACAATCGCTAGCAGTAACCATAGATAAAATAAGGTATTTTGAATACTTATATATGTACATTAAAAAGTAAGAATTATGTGTCATGTTCCAATATTATTGTCATTGTTTAGTTAAATGTACATAATATATTATATAGTATTTATTAAATTTGGTCTTTACAGCTCCCCTGACCCCGCAACATGCCAGAAGATTTCAAACTAATATATCAATATTTTTTTTCTCCCGTAAGCGTGCATTAATTCCTCTAATAAGTAAAAAGCCTGTTCTAAAGTTTGCTCCTTTCACCTCACCATAGTTCCTTATAGAATCTCCCATCACTTTTATCAATAAGTATTTATCTACAAGGAGGGTTTCTATGAAAATTTTTTGTAAAACTTATCCTTAAATACTTAACTGTCTCCACATATATTATTGCATTTCAATTTATTTAGGAAAGCTGGAATATTTTTGACGAAAATTGACATTCTTAAACAAGCCCTTAATGACTTGCGACATACGATCAGCTGAAGAATTTTATGAGAAGATTTTCATAGAAGCAGTAACTTGATATTTTTTACCAATGAGTTACTGTTATAATTCAGAAACAAGAAAAAACGTTAGCTTCGGTTGAACCGGAGCTATAATTCCCTTCACAAATACAAAAGATTTCATACAAGAACTTGTGTGTCAGCTTTATGCTATAGTGGTCTGATCTGACCGTTGCCTTAAAAAGATTTTCCCTACAAGGACTGGATATTGATACATCAGTTTCTATGGAAGCCATATGCTATGAGGATCCGATCTGCACAATTTCTTCGGAGATTATACTATTGCCTTTAACAATAATCCGTGCCAAATTTTGTGAAGATATCTCGTAAAATAAAAAAGTTTTCCATACAAGGACATGATTTTGATCGTTCAATTTGTATGGCAGCTATTTATATTGTATATATAATATATATGTATATATTATATATTATATATGTTATAGTGGCCCGATATGGGCGTTCCGGCTAATTAGCAATAAAAATCGCATTTTTAATTAGAAATAATTGTGGTGAATTTTTTAGGTATTACGCAATAAAATATTTTCATTAAGGGGCTATTTCAGTCTAGAAATAAAAAATATCGTTGTTTTTTATATTGTCAAAGTTTAACTATTCAAAAATATGTCTACAAGAGGACTTTTCAAAATTCAACTATTTTTAGAGATATAAGTATTTTGCTGACCCGGCATCCAAATTGGTTCTGCTGAAACAGAAACTTTGAACTCGTTTTTCTCGAAACTGTGTTATTCAAGACGATACCCACCATTTCTCAGGTTCTAATGGACCGGTTTACCTTAAAGTTTTAGAGAGTCTTCTTTATGGACTTGTCTTTGTCTATGTCTTTTTTTAAATTTTTTCCTGTATGTTGTTATGTTTATATAACTAATAAAAAAGTGGATAGTAAAAATATTAATTGACTTTTTTTACGACACTTCAAAAATTAAGTTCTTGCCTCTAGACTAGAATATCCCCTTAAGAACAAAAGCGCGGTTTTAGTCTTTGTTCATAACCTTATTTATTGATTTTGATCCCGTATTATATCAGAAAAAGCTATATTGATACATAAGACATTTTTCAGAAACTAATTTTTATCCTGCTGAAAAATAACAATTGAAACGGAAAGTAGCCAAAACATTTTATAAAAGAGTATTTTTACATTGGTTTCTTTCGTAACGAAATTTTCTAACTGAAAACATAAGAATCTTCTTTACAATATTTGTAGCATTGGAACCAATCATTTATTTAGGCTATGATGATACAAACACATCTCGATGTACATGAATCTGACTTACTTAATTTACTTCCATACATGTTTTGTACTTACATTTACATAGAAAAATATGTACTCGTATATATAGATTTCTAGTATTTATTGTAGCCATAGTTTTATTAAGAACTGATGGTCATTAAACGTTAGCAAGCGATTTACAGAATTTATATATTGTACTTGCTAGTATCTTATATGTTCCCCTTCTTGTATATATGTATATAGGTACATATACTTATAGCAGCTTCTATGCAAATCGGCACAAGTAGTTGAACTAAAACAAATTCAAAATCTATTGATTGGCCGATGCTCCAATGAGGATAGTTTCAGCTTCAATACAAAATTCAGCAAATGAACATAATCAACAAAAACAAAATGAAATCTATTGTACATACATAGTATTCAATAATACATTCGTAGCACGCGTAATTTTGCTATAAATAGACGTATAGGTTCATATAAATCCGATTCGATTTCTTCTTATTCGTGTT